CTGTGACTGGGTGGGCGTGGCTTGCCAGCCATGTGACTGGGTGGGCGTGGCCAACTTGTAAAATGTGGTGAAACTCACTTAACAACACTCTTGCTTAGCAACCAAAATGTTGGCTCAGGAACTCTGGCATTGAAGCACACAAATCTTAAAACTGTCAATTACAAGACCCTTGCACCCCTAACGCTTTAGGGAAAAAACCCTCAGGGGTGTTCAAACTTGACAGCTTTAAGACTTGTGGACTTCAACTCCCAGAATTCCTCCTCGTCATGTTGGCTCAGGAACTCTAGCATTGAAGCACATAAGTCTTAAAGCTGTCAAGTTTGAACACCCCTGGGGGTTTTTTTCCTAAAGGGTTAGGGGTGCAAGGGTCTTGTAATTGACAGTTTTAAGATTTGTGTGCTTCAATGCCAGAGTTCCTGAGCCAACATTTTGGTTGCTAAGCAAGAGTGTTGTTAAGTGAGTTTCACCACATTTTACAAGTTGGCCACGCCCACCCAGTCACATGGCTGGCAAGCCACGCCCACCCAGTCACATGACCGGCAAGCCACTCCCCCAAAGCAGGCCACACCTACAGAAGAGGTTCTAAAAAATTTGGAAACCCACCACTGGTTGTCACGGGTCGGATGTGTCCTGCTCTGGCCACGCCCACCCCCAGTTTAGCCAAGGGGAAAGTTGCCAGACGTCATGTGACAATAACGTGTCATCGTGAGTTTGACACCCCTGAAGTAGTGAGTCATAAGGCAGCCGACGCTGACAGTTCTAGTTTGTGCATAGAATACTGAACAAATGATGAGTACCGGGACAAAATTGTCACATCAAAATACGGCGAGTACCAAATCTGACAAGTTTCAAAGCAGCTGAGTAACGGGTTGTCCTCAACTTGAAAAAAAAAATCCATTTGGTGACCATTCAAAGTGATAACCCCAGGACTCAGGACGGTTATACAACCAATTTTGTTGTGTTTAAGTACAATGACAATAAAAATTAGACTTATTCCCTTGACTGTCACAGCATCCCTGTGGTCAAAATTGAGCCGATTGGCAATTGAGTCACATTTAGGACGTGTCCTGTGGTCCCCGTTTGCGACCTTCTGATAAGTAATGTCGATAAGGACATGTAATAACCATATGACGTAACAACTGCAGGGATTCACTTCACAGTTGTGCGTGGAAAACGGGGCAAAACTCTTAGCGAATGTTTCAGAAATGTTCGGCTCAATTGTGGTTGTAACTTGTGGACTACTGATACCGAGGTACCGCTGTCTTAAGATTCATGATGCTGGTAGTATCTCTAGAAAGAAATTCTAGACACAGGTAGAAGAGAAGGAAGTTCTTTCGCGGGTCTCCTGCCGCGTAATTTAAAATGTTGTCATTTTTGTGTCTCGCATTTTTCATCTTTCTCTGCTTCAGAACCTAAAACACAGCCTGTTGTGTCCTGCAACCGCACCTTGGACGACTTTTACGGGGTGATTTATTCCCCGGCCTTCATCTCGGACTCATACCTGGGCGCTGCACATTGCCAGTGGCTCCTGGATACTCACGATAGCCGTCCCCTCATCCTCCGCTTCACGGTCCTTAACTTAGATATCGGGGACTCCCTCCGGGTGTACGACGGTGCGCCCGGCGCGCCACTCCGCCCTCACTTGCTGCGCAACTTGGATTACACGAGCAACAACAAGATTGTGTCGGTGGATTCCCCATCTAGCCGGGCGTGGGTGGTCTACCAGGCGGTGCCGGGAACAGAAGGACGGGGATTCAACGCCACGTACCACGTGCAAGGATTTTGTGTGCCATGGGATTTCCCCTGCGGAGGAGACAGCGGTGAGGGTGCCACATGTTACAGCACCACCGAGCGCTGTGATGGGAACTGGGATTGTGCCAATGGTGCCGACGAGGATGGTTGCCACGGCTGCCCGCCCGGGCAGTATGCCTGCGGAGGACGAGGCATCGGAGGCGCCGTCTGCTACGGTCCCGCCGACCGTTGCAATTACCAAACGTTTTGTGCGGATGCCGCTGACGAACGCCGTTGTTACTCCTGCCAGCCCGGGAACTTCCGGTGCAGAGACGGCCGCTGTATCTACGAGAGCTGGGTGTGCGACGGACAGGCGGATTGTGTCGATACCTCAGACGAGGCAGACTGTTCCTACATCCTCCCCCGCAAGGTGGTGACGGCGGCTGTCATTGGCAGTCTAGTGTGCGGTCTCCTTCTGGTCATTGCGCTCGGTTGCACCTGCCGTTTGTATGCGCTCCGGAGCCATGAATTTGGGTGAGGGGCCAGTTGGGGAAATTAAGGAAGAGGGCGAGACTTTGGAGGTGTAGTGGCTGGAAAGGTGGATGGGGATAGAGTTGATGCGCTAGAGGGGTCAATATAGAGATGAAGAGCCCGTATTGAATGGACTGATGGGGGAAGGACTTTTGTCCTGGGGATGAGGGCTGACACCCCCTCCCCAACCAGGCCAGTGTTTCATGTTACCCAATCTTGGCACTTGGTATGGACTTCAATTCCCAGAATTCTTCCTTCCTCGAGCCTACTAGGGAATCCTGGGAATTGAAGTCCATGCATCGTAATGTTGTTAAATCCGCTCTAGACAATCATAGACATCCTCAGGAATCCTGGGAGTTGAAGTCCATGCATTTTAACGTTGCTGAGACAGCTCTAGACAATCATAAAAGTCCTCCCAAGATTTATAAATTTGAATGTACCAAACCAGTGAGAATGAAGGGCTCAGGAAGTGTTTTTCTAACCTAGGCTTCCCAAGAGCATGAAGCTGACCAAAAAACCCTTTTATTAATTTCCTGTGAATTCTGCTCATTCATATCCAGCAAAGCCTTTCAAGGGAAGATTTACAGTCACCGACCTTATCTGCGAAACCTGGCAAGGAGTCTCAGAGAGTCACAAACCACTGAAGGGAAACTTCATTGGCCTCCTGCAAACTCCACTCCCCTTTTGCTCCTCTTTTATTTCCTCTGGGAGGGGCCATTCATTGCCCACCTGTGGCCTTACTCCCAAGTCAACCCCTGTTGTTTAGCTGCTCCCTTCTGACAACTCTGCATGCGCACATCGGGAACAGGCTCCAGTTGTTCTTCTGCCCCACTGATTTCCGACTCCGAAGGCAGCTGATAACTGTCAGACGGCCCTGGTCCCCTCTCTGTCTCCGACGCAGAGCCCTCATCAGGGCCTTCCCCAGGCTCCAGGACTGGCCCATGTTCCTCCCCAACCTCCTCACTGTCTGAGTCCGCCACCAGCTCCACTGTCCGCTGGTGGGCCACAACATTTCTCTTCCTACTGGCAGAAACTAGAGGAAATGGAAAAAATACTCTTTTAATGAGACTAATGCACCCTAGCTCAGTTGTCCACCAGGAAGGTGAACATATTCCTTAGCATTGGCCATGATGCCAATGGGATTCTGGGAGTTGAAGTCCACGCAGCTGGAGTTTGCCCAGTTGATAAAGTCTTGCTAAAGATAACAAGAAGGGCGCGCGTCGTAGGAATCAGGTTATGCGCCTAAGAAGGGGGCAAGGATGATCATTCTCTGGTTTCTCCCTCCTTTAGAGTCTTGGCACCTATGTCACGGATGGAGGCCCAGTTGGTTCAGCGCCAGGCTCCGCCATCTTACGGGCAGCTGATCGCTCGCGGAGTTATTCCACCAGTAGAAGGGTTCCCGGTTGAACATCCCAATCAGGTGAGTGAGCCTTTGCGTGCCTCCCTCAAGACCAAACTAACTTGTCGACTTCAACTCCCAGAATTCTTCATCCCACCATGTTGGCTGGGGAATTCTGGGAGTTGAAGTCCACAAGTCTTATAGTTGCCACGTTTGGAGGCTCAAAAGACCATTGGTCTCCTCCTCCTCCTCTTTCCTTAATTTCCTATCCTTATTTCCTTTCGGTTGTCGAAGAACCCTCTAATGCAAGGCCCGTAGGCTGGAACTGGCCCATGGGGCGCTTACATCTGGCCCACAGGGTCATCCTGGAAATTGCAAAGGACCGGCCTGTGGTGTGTCTGCCAGCGAAAATGGAGCTCCATTTTCACTGGCAGAGGGTTGAAGGAGGCCGGCCCAGCAGAAAACGGTGATCGGGAGACTGTTTTCTCTGGCAGAGGGTTGCAGGAGGCCGGCCGAGCAGAAAACGGTGATCAGGAGACTGTTTTCTCTGGCAGAGAGTTGCAGGAGGCCGGCCCAGCAGAAAACGGTGATCGGGAGACTGTTTTCTCTGGCAGAGGGTTGCAGGAGGCCGGCCGAGCAGAAAACGGTGATCAGGAGACTGTTTTCTCTGGCAGAGATTTGCAGGAGGCCGGCCCAGCAGAAAACGGTGATCGGGAGACTGTTTTCTCTGGCAGAGAGTTGCAGGAGGCCGGCCCAGCAGAAAACGGTGACCGGGAGACTGTTTTCTCTGGCAGAGAGTTGCAGGAGGCCGGCCCAGCAGAAAACGGTGACCGGGAGACTGTTTTCTCT